TGCATTTTATGGTCAAAATCCACCCAACCCACCCAATGCCCACCCCTACCCGTAAGTACTTATTTGGTGTTTTAATACTTTGATTATTTTAGTTGTAGTTTAATACTTAATTTAAATTTCTATCTATTTTATAAATATACAATACCCTAAAATTGCAGCCCAAATATCACTGGTTCGAATATTGCATATCGAATTGCAATATTAAACATGTAGAAGCAACATCGACTTCTTAAATTAATATTATTTTTCAGAATTACTATGGAGAAATTATATCTTTCTGCAAACTATATGAGACTGGTTCTTTTAATGTTTTAGTCGGGATAACCGCTACATTTTAAACTTCTTCATAATCTGGCATGATTGGATCCAATGATCATTATACAAGATTGTGTTTAATAGGGTGGCTCATTTCACCACTTTTTGGCGTGTTAATGAATTTGTAGGAAAATGACAGATCTACATCTACACTCATCACAATCTACACATCATATAAATGTGAAATGTGAAATGAGAAAAGAGGGATTCCATTTCAAATTTGATGCGTACAGAGCAATTTTTTAGGGGTAAATTTAGAAGATGCCAGTGCGGTCGGTCTTTTGAGCACGAAAGTAAAAATATGTTTTCATTTAAACGGGCCCAAACTGTTATTTGGCCCACTAATCGTGCACCCATCGCCAATGCAGTCAAATTCGGGATTTTGATCGTAAAATCGTAGGATTTTAGGATTTTACTTAGGGATTCCGATCTTGATTTTACTATAAAATCGGTGGACCTTAAAATCGTTTAAAATCGGGACTAAAATCGTTAAAATCGTAAAATAGTACCGAAATCGGGATTTTGATCGTAAGAGAACAAAATAGGTGGTTTGAGCCAATTTAAAATAAGTATAACTGTTTCAGCGGAAAGGGCAATGGAATCTTCTCAGATATTTTTCTATTAGAAAATATTCAAAAATAATAAAAATAACCAAATTAGGGTTCGGTTAATCTCTTTCCCTTCACCCCATTTAACTTATTGGTAAAACACTTGTCCTAATATTGGAAGTATGTAAGAACTAACATCATTATTAACTAATTAATTTATTAATGAATATATTCGTACCAAGCCACTAACATTACTTATTTTATTGGAGTTCAATTATTTTTAGTTTTAAATCATACTTAGTAGACGATGTCGAAATATTACTTTGAGTTAAACAACCTAGACATAACATGAAAATAAGAGCCAAACCCATGAACTATATCCCTTCATCATGAATTATTTTGAGTTACACATTAAATAACAATTAAAATAGTGATTTTGGAACATTAATCTTGAGAATTATCTTATGAAAAAAAAATCTTCTGAATTATCATTTTAAATGCTATGTGATATTAATAATTTACCTTATTAATATTCTTATATGCTATGTTCTATATGGTACTTAAAATCCTACGATTTTACGATTCGATTATATGATTTTGATTTTACCCCAGTTTTCGATTTTAGGCAAAATCTCGATTTTAACTGCTTTGCCCATCGCAGCCTCTCCAAATCTTCCTATTCTACTCGCCGGGTCATCTCCTCCACTACAAAATATCTCCTCATGTACTCAAAGTTCTCACTGAAACCTAATATCTACAACTTAGGCGCAGAGGGAGCAACCGATGGATCGTAGCGACCCCCACTATTTTGATAGCTAATCAAGAAGAGCGCGTTTGTTTAGTTGTATGGTGATTCACTTAATTAACAATTTTTATTCCGTTGACAGCCTCCTCTCCGCAATTGTATTGTGTTCACGAAGATCTGAAGGCGCAAGTGCAACAGGTCCAGGGGTAAACAATATGTATAAAGCGTTGGCCAAATTGAATTGAGTCATTCTACTTGGAATATGAAGATTTTTGCTTAATTGTTTTGGTTCGTGATGCAACTATGTTATGTTTGAAGGTAGACCAACGCAAACAACAGCACAGCTCCAGGGCTATTCTGCACATTAGGTAGTTGGGGCATTAATTGATAATTATTTGGGATTATTCCTACAAGTACATAATTTGGAACGTGCCTTTATATTGCATTGATTAATAGTTGTTTGAGATTTTTCAAATGAGTGATTTGACATGTTAAACTCTCTTATTTTTGAAAATGGAGTCTTCGAAGTGGAATATGAAGATTTTGGATTAAGCTTGGTTTCGTAACGCCCTTATGGGTGTTTATTCTCTAAAATGCAGCTGTCTTTCAAAGTGCCTGTTGCAAATGGCAAGGCAGGATACAACGATGGTACCGGTACACGTTTATATCATTAGTAGGTAGCAGATTGTGTCCATTCTACTATATCATTTAGCTAAATACTTAGTTGTTCTTTTCAACTAAAAATTATGCTTAAATGCTGTGATTGCCCTCAGAAATGTATGTCTTTGCATTAACTGTTAATGATTGTGAGTTTTGGTTTAATAGTGAAAAGTCCATTTATTTAGAAGTCTAAATTGGGCAAACCTATTGGACAATAGGAATGCCATACATTAGTGTCGTGGGAGGTTTGTTTGATGTCTCAGTGTGTTAGATTTTTAAGAAGGTTGTTTGTTGTGGCAGAGAGTCCCTAAAGTTAGCGAGGTATTCCTATGTGGGCTTTTTCTTTGTTTGACTTTTTCTCGCCTTTTTTCTTATCTCTTTTTCTATTTTTGGTTTTTGTGTGCTACCTTCAGTTGCTACGTCTTCATTTGTGAGCCATCTATACTTTTCTTATTCAGTGCCTAAAAATCATATATACTCGATTGCATAGTAGTTACTAATAGATACATTTATACCAATAGAGAGATTTTAAGTTTTATCAGTTGTTAGTTTTAATATTTACTTACATTGGTTGTTTATATAGTTTTCTTTGTAATATTTCTCATTATACAACTAATTACTATGGCTACGTAGTTGTATAAGTGGGGGTTGGACATGATAGTTCTTAGAAGCATCAATACTTGAAGGTTATTATAATGACCAAATTCTAAAGTTATGGTTTGCCTTCAACTTGCTTGGAGCATTTCAATTATGCATCAATTGTTCTCTCCGTGTAGTTAACTCTCAGACAAATCGAAAATCTTGCTGATATGTGCTTGATTGTAGTTAAATTTAGGGTTCTACTGCATTGTTGCTTTACTCTTTTTTCGTGGTTGAGTTTGCTTCAAAAAATTTAGTTTGATTTTAGAAAATTTTGCTTCTGCAGTCCTGTCTTGCCACCAACGCGTTCAATAGATGGAGACGGGAGAGGCGAAGGCTATTTTTGTGTTGTTGTTGCTGGTTTAGGGATCGGTTTGTGAAGAAGAGGGAGAAGAGAGGGGGAAAGGGAAATGCAGGAGAGGGGGATAACTCTTTTCTCCGACAAAAATGGAGTGAAGAAAGGAATTATGATCGGTAAGAATATGGTTATCTTACATAACGGTCTCTATTCTGTTTGAATTGAGCTTGAGAGGCAGTGATAAGGACGAGCTGCAACCAATTCATAGTGAGAAGAGAGCTATGAACTGTGATCATGTCTTATTTCAAGTTAGAAAGTAGTTTCAGTATAAGGATTATTTAATTTGACAAGTTGTTTCATCCATGATTCTTGGTAGTTTCAGTGCCATTCTAGCCAATGTTTAGTCTGTAATTTTTTAGAATTGATGTGCGAGTAATGACTTTCACTTAGCTTCAACTATTATGTGTGTATTTATTGGCATGTGATAGAATTCTCTTTTCCTTTTCATTGAATTCATTTTCATACTCTAATTGTATTATTTGTACATAGGCAAATCATGCTCGAGATGGCAACTCGCTGATATGGCTGGTGCAAGGAATGAAGCCATCATTAGAATTCAGACCGACAACGGGGAGGGATGCCCAGGACTAATTCAATGATGATTGATGATGGTATAATAAAAACTGCAGTCTGCATCAGCACCAATTTCTAGGCCTAAGTAAAGGTATTCAACCCAGAACTCTGCTTAGCGCTAAAAATTGCCCTCACCCAACCTTGATCCTGTTTGACCCACTTCTGAAGAGTAAAGATATATGACTAATCCTCCCCGTTCGTATTTTCTTATTGACTCTTTCTGACCCTGTAGGTTGGGGCGGGTCGGGAAGAATTGGATTAGTGGGTCGGTCCTAATCAAGTGGAATCCCAATCCCTTCACTCTCACTTGCTTTCTCTCCCATTCCACAAGTGTGTAACATACAGTAATCCGGCCAACGGGCCGGGTATATGCTAGTGTTTTTAATTTAAAAAGATACAACAAATGTACTTAGTGTGATTGGTTATGATCTTTGCTTTTCTTTAAAGTGGTAATGGTTCGAATCCCAGTACATGTCTTTTTAATAAATAAAAAAAATTAATTGTGAAGACCAAAATGTCCTTCCTACTTTCACTCTCGTTGCAGGTTATTTGAAATGGGGCTCCCGTTTTTCCCTTCGGCGTATTATATTATGTGTAGATGGTAGGGTCCGATATAAGAAAATAAAACGCCACAACTATTGACTTGGGGGAAATTATGAAAGAGGGAAATACTCTGTTGAAAAGTATTCAAGAAGTTGAGAATTAAATCGAGAAAAAAAATTAACTAGATTCCATTCTTTGGATGAATAAAAGTGAAAATCTGAATCGCCGGAATGCTCCATTCTCCGCTCTTTCAATTCTTCCATCTCAATTCATTCACTATGAGGTAAAATTAGTCATTTAAAAACGATAAATGAGCATAGTTTCTTCTCTTATCTTTTGAAATAACAATTTCGCGAAATTTTATCGATTTAAATTCCAAACATTTCATTAGAATTCGGCATTCTTTCATTAAAACAACCCTTAGGATATTTATCTATAAAAACAAATTATCTAAAAATAAAAACAACCCTTAGAATAAAATAACACAAGTGGTATAATTTCCCATTTTAATTTCAAACCATTTCAATAGACTAGGAAAATGAAAATGAATTTATTGACTTGTTGAGTGTAGTCTAATCGAGTCTTTGCCGTAAGTAGACTGTTTCTTTCCCATCCAATTAATTATTCCCCCGTATTACACTCCTTATTTTGACTTGGGAAAGTTTTGTAAAGTCTTCCCTGTAACATTCTCATTGTGCATTATTCATGGAGAAAAACAATATGCTGCTTAATTGTTTCATTGTTTGAGCGAAATTAAACATGAACCATATTGGCGGATTCTCCATTTCCTTGATTATAATGGAGCTCCAAACCATTTTTGTGCTCCTTCCGCTCATCATCTTTCTTCCTTTCTGTTGTTCTTCCTCTACAGACACCATAAGATTCAACGAATCTCTTGCAGACGGCCAAGTACTAATTTCCAGCGGAAAGAAGTACACTCTGGGTTTCTTCAGCCCCGGGAAATCAACCAACCGCTATGTCGGAATTTGGTTCACCAAACTCCCCACACAAGAAGTGGTTTGGGTCGCCAACCGAGACGATCCGATCAACGATACTTCCAGTTCGCTCTCAATCGACCCCCGAGGGGGCGGCTTGGTTTTGAATCAAAGAATCAACGGTACTGCTGCTACTCTGTGGTCCATAAATGTTTCGACCGGAGAGAATCCGGTCGTGGCTCGACTGTTAGACGAAGGAAATTTCGTTCTGCTCCGACAGGACGGAGATCGCGAGACGGTGGTTCTGTGGCAGAGCTTTGCTCATCCAACGGACACGTATTTACCTTACACGCCGCGAAAAACAGGACCGGACTACGCGATCCGGTCCTGGAAGTCCCCTGACGACCCTGCAACAGGGGACTGGTCCTATGTCTTGGAACCCAACGGGGTGCCTCAGTTGATATTGTACGAAGGCCGAACCAAACGGTGGAGGAGCGGACCGTGGAATGGATTCGCCTGGTCCGGGGTCCCCGACATAGCTCGAGTCTCCTTCTTCAACTCGAGCGTGGTGATCGACAAAAACGACGTCACTTTCACCTGTGGACTTCGGGATCCTGCCGTCGTAGCCAGGGTCCACCTGCATCCGTCAGGGACCCTGAGCCGCGACTTGTGGCAGGACAAGGAGGGTCGTTGGGACGAGGTGTATCGATATCCAACGGAGACTTGTGACGTCTATGGGAAGTGCGGGCCGAACGGGAACTGTGACCCTTTCAAAGTTGTAGGAGACTTCCCCTGCATCTGTCTTCCTGGTTTCGAGCCCAGGTCTTCGAGCGACTGGTTCCTAAGAGATGCCTTAGGAGGGTGCGTCAGGAAGCGAGCGACGAGGAATCTGGGTTGTGGAGGTGGCGACGGGTTTGTGAAATTGGAAAATGCTAAAGTTCCTGACACGAGGACCGCTACAGCTGATGCAGATATGAATCTGAGCAGGTGTGAACAGGAGTGTCTGAGGAACTGTTCCTGTACGGCTTACGCAAGTTCTAATTTGACGAGTGGGATTGGGTGCATGCGATTGTACGGGGATCTGGTGGATACGAGAGTGCTTATCGGTTTTGGACAAGACTTGTATGTGCGAGTGGACGCAATTGAATTGGGTAAGGGGTGATTGTTGGCATGTACCAAAATTTATCTGAATTGTTCTTGAAGAGAATTTGACACTACCGTATGACTGTGATTTTGTAGCCGAATACAGGAAACAGTTGAAAGGGCAAAAGGAAAATATGAAGGTTTTAGCGATTGTATTGGCTTCTGTTGGTGGTACGGGCATCATATTGGGGGCTTCAACCATGTTTTATTGTCTCCTGAAGTGGAAAAGAAAAGGTATTCAAGTGCACAAAAAGAAGTTAGCTAACATTTTTTGTATCGTTTCAATTTTATCGAATGTTTTCCAAGAAGTGAGAGCTAATCGTTCTTTAAAACCTATGCAGGAAGTAGTGGAGATACCAATCATATGATTTCGAGAATAAAGTCTGAGTCTCAAAAGGAAAACTTATACGAAGATAAAGATTCAGTGGTCCCTACTTTTGATGTACTAGACATATTTGCAGCCACCGAGAATTTTTCTGCTGCCAATAAACTTGGACAAGGTGGATTCGGTTCTGTTCACAAGGTACACATATATTGTGTGAATTACCAAAGAGGAAAGATTTTCATATATTTATGATATGGTGAATAGTTTGGGGGAATACAAATCAGTAATTTGTCTAAGGATAGTAGTGAGAAAATGAACGATTTTGAGCCTAACTTTTGTATATGGGTGATAAATTATTTTTGTTAATAATTTTGATTTTTTTAGATATAATTTTGATTTGGTTAGGGTACACTATCCAATGGGCAAGAAATAGCAGTGAAAAGATTGTCTCAAACTTCAAGACAAGGAATTGGCGAATTTAAGAATGAAGTACGATTAGTTTCCAAACTCCAACACAAGAATCTAGCAAGGATATTTGGTTGTTGCATTCACGGTGAGGACAAGATGTTGGTATATGAGTACTTGCCAAACAGAAGCCTCGACTTCTTCATCTTTGGTTTGTATTTTCATCCCCTTTCAATTCAGTGCATTATATTTTTCTTTCATTATTCCATAGTTAAGTGTCAATGAAAACATTTGATTAGTTGACATGTTACATTGATCTAGATAAAACGAAAGGGTTGCTATTGGACTGGATGAGACGATTTGAAATCATCATAGGGATTGCTCGAGGTTTATTGTATCTGCATCAAGATTCAAGACTGAAAATCATCCACAGAGATTTAAAAGCAAGCAATGTTATGCTGGATGCTACAATGAACCCAAAAATTTCAGATTTTGGGATGGCTAGGTTATTCGGAGAGGATCAAATAGAGGCCAATACAGAAAGAGTTGTTGGAACCTAGTAAGAATTAAACTATATACAAAACTTGGTTTTGCTTCTTCGGAGATTTTTTTAGACAAGTTTTTATTCTTCTACATGAAATGTTGCAGTGGGTACATGTCTCCGGAGTATGCAATGGAAGGCCTTTATTCAACAAAATCAGATATTTTTAGCTTTGGAGTCTTGACACTTGAGATTGTGAGCAGCACGAGAAGCAACCAGTGTTACCAAGCAAGACCATCCTCTAGCTTGATTGGTTATGTAAGTGCTCTTTTCCACCTAAAATAAGTTATGTCCTATAATACGACACTAGGTTATTGGATCATGCCCTTGGTAGTTAGAAACTAATCATATTTACAATTTTACTCACTCATTTAAAAATTTAGTTGAAACCAAATAACCCACAAAATTTGTTCAATAAGATGTAGCAAATCCTCATAAAAAAAGATGTAGTAAATCTATAGGAATTGACGGTTTGATAAGTAGTTCATCATAATTGTCTGTTTGATTCCGGTTGATTCTGAATCCTTGCAAAGGCATGACTAATTTGGTCAAGGCAGACTTCTTGTTGCATAGTTCCCGTAAAAAATGAATCACTCAATTGAGAAAGAAACCTGAATAGTTCGTATTGTTGTACACACACTAGGTGTGGGACTTGTGGAGTGAAGGAAGATCGTTGGACATGGTGGATTCATCGACAATGGGAGAATCATTTTCCACGGATCAAGTCATGAGGTGCGTTCAGATTGGACTCTTGTGCGTCCAAGAATCCCCAATCGATCGACCGATTATGTTAGATGTTGTTTTCATGTTGGGAAATGCAAACACTCTTCCATCTCCCAAGAAGCCCGCATTCATACTCAACAAAAAATATGATGACGCATATCCAGCAATGACCACCGCCACCGGATCATCTGGAGTTCCTTCCATTAACCACTTAACAACAACCACTTTGGTAGCTAGATGATATATAGATGACAAGCATATATAAAATGTAGTGCTTCATTTTTCACTTGAGCTTAGTAATTTTTGTGTAGTTACTAAAAATAAACAACTATGTGGTTCTGCATCTTAAACTCTACTTTGTTCACCATCAAATTATGGGGAAAGTATATTTGGTTCTGCATCTTAAGTCCTGGTATTGATGCTTACCTTCTGGGATTTGTTTCACCAAAGAAAGTATGACGATGCATACTCAGCCGCAACTAGTCACACCGGACCACCGGATTTCTTTTATCAGTTTATGACAAAAAACAAACCACCGCGATTTGAAATCATCATACGAATTGCTTGAGGTTTATTATATTTACATCAAAATTCAAGGTTGAAAATCATCCACAACAATCTAAAAGAAAGCAATGTAGAACTAGATGCTGAATCCTAAAAGATCATATTTCAGGACGGGTTCGATTATTCAAAAAAGGAACAAATAGAGGCCAATATAAATAGAATTGTAGGAACCTAGTAAGAAAATTAACTTTAAAACCCAATTTCGGATTTGAGGCAACAAATTTTTTATTCTAGTAAATAATTTTTGCAGCGGATTCATGTCACCAGAATATGCAATGGAGGGTCTATACAAAGTTTTAGATAAGGGGAACCATTTCTTCCACACATGTGCGACTACTGACGATCACATATGTACAATTGTACATGGTGATGTAGGGTCCTAGATAAGGAAACAAAACGCCACAAACCATTGACTTGGAGAAATAATACAAAGAGAGAAATATCTCACAAAAGTCTGTCGACGGATGAAATTGTGTTCACATTAAATCTAAAAAAAAAATTACTAGTTACCACAAAAATGTGGTTCTTCTTATCATCTTGTGTGTCAAATTTGATCTAAAAACTCGCTAAATTCTAATACTTTGAAACTTTGATCTTAGGGGTCGTTTGGAGAACAGGATTCAGGACATGGATTCATTAAATCCGTAGATTTTGTAAAAAGTTATGTTTTTTTTGTTACTTTTTGTATTGTGGATTCTAGCTTTAGAGATTTCAAATCTCTAAAATCCGCGGATATCAAATCTCTCCTAATCAGAGAGATTCTATATCTTGATTCGTGAGATTTTTTCTCTCCTAATTTTTCTCTTTCTTTTATTTATTTATCACATGAAATATATTTATCAACAAAGTTTTTTTATATTTCTCGAACCACTCTAATTTTTTTTATTAAGGATAAACATGTTATTTAATATAAAATAAATTTTTTTATTTTACTTGATTGTTAACAATCACAGTTACCAAACAATAAACATTTTAAAATCTGTTTTCAACAATCTGGAGAGTTAGAATCTTTAGATTGTTGATAATTTATAGATTTAAACTCATATTTTCCAAACCACCCCTTACCAATGGAGACCATACTTTTTTTTTTTATAGGAAAGAGACCATACTTTTGAGAATGTGAAACTTTGGTTGTATGGTTGGAGATGGTCTCAATAGACGGTTTCTTTCCCATCCAAAAATTCCAAAGTCAAACACTCTTTTTTGTGTTGACTTGCGTGTGGGACATTTTGTGAAGTCTCACGCGTAGCATTTGCCAATTGCCATTGTGCACCATTCACAGAGAAAAGCAACAATGTTCTTCTGCTTGTCTGAGTAAAATTGAACATGATCCACATCGGTGGTTTCTCCATTTCCTTGATTATCATGGAGCTCCAAGCCATTTTTGTGCTTCTTCTACTCTTCCTCGTTCTTCCCTTTCCTTGTTCTTCATCTACAGACACCATCCGATTCAACGAATCTCTTGCGGATGGCCAAGTACTCGTTTCTCGTGGAGAAAAATACACTCTGGGTTTCTTCAGCCCCGGGAAATCAACCAACCGATACCTTGGAATCTGGTTCACCAAAGTTCCCACACATGTCGTGGTTTGGGTCGCCAACCGAGACGATCCGATCAACGATACATCCGGTTCGCTATCCATCGACCCCCAAGGAGGCGGATTGGTTTTGAGCAGAGGAAGACAGAGTCCCACTACTACTTCCATTTCGTGGTCTACAAATATCTCCACCGGATCGAATCCGGTGGCGGCTCGACTGTCGGACGAAGGCAATTTCGTTCTACTCCGACAGGAGGGCGTTCAAGAGGCAGTTCTATGGCAGAGCTTTGCCAATCCAACAGACTCGTACTTACCGTACACGGTACGAAAAACAGGACCGGACTACGCGATCCGGTCCTGGAAGTCCCCTGACGACCCTGCGACAGGGGACTGGTCCTATTTCCTGGACCCGAGCGGGTCGCCTCAATTGACAGTGTACAGAGGTCGAACCAAGCAGTGGAGGAGCGGACCGTGGAACGGGATCGGCTGGTCCGGGATCCCGGACCTGGCTCGAGTCTCCGTATTCTTCTTCACCGTGGAGATCGACGAGAACGACACGACCATCATTTGGGGACTTCGGGACCCTGCCATGATATCCAGGGTGTACCTGGATCCGGCGGGGACCTTGAGCCGCGGGGTGTGGCTGGACGAGGAAGGGCGCTGGGACGAGGTTTTTCGATATCCGACGGAGTTCTGCGACGTTTTCGGGAACTGCGGGCCGAATGGGCTGTGTGACCCTTATAGAGCTGTAGGGGAGTTCCCCTGCATCTGTCTTCCGGGGTTCGAGCCGAGGTCGCCGATCGATTGGTCCTTGAGAAACGCCCTGGGAGGGTGCGTCAGGAAGCGAGCGAGGAATTTGAGTTGTGGAGGGGATGGTGGTGGTGGTGACGGATTTGTGAAATTGAAAAATGCTAAAGTTCCTGATACGACGACCGCTGTGCGGATTGCGGGTGTGGATTTGAGCGGGTGTGCAGGGGAGTGTTTGAGGAACTGTTCTTGTACGGCTTACGCGAGCTCGAATTTGACGAGTGGGATTGGGTGCATTTTGTTGTTCGGGGATTTGGTTGATACGAGGCTGATTAAGGGTGCGGGACAGGACTTGTACGTGCTAGCCGACGCAATTGAATTGGGTAAGCGTGAATTTTTGGCATCGTGGAGTTTAATTTGTCCACATTGTTCTTGAAGACAAGGAATTTTTTAACACTTGCTTATAGCTGAATACAGGAAACGGTTGAGAGGATACGAGGAAAAGAAGAAGAAGATGTTAGCGATCGGATTGACTTTTGTTGGTGCGGCCATCATATTGGGAGTTTCGGCAGTGTATTATTGCCTCCTGAAACGGAAAAGAAAAGGTAATCAAGTGCATAAAGCTAAGTGCGTTAACATTGTCTGTATCGTTTCAATTTTATTTCATGTTTCGCAAAAAAAAATTGTTAGATGATTATTCCTTAAAACCTATGCAGGAAGTAGTGGAGGTTCCAATCATATGATTTTGAGAACGAAGTCCGAATCTCAAGAGGAAAACTTATACGAAGATAAAGATTCATCAGTACCAATTTTCGATGTACTTGACATATTTGCTGCCACCGAGAATTTTTCTGATGCCAATAAACTCGGACAAGGGGGCTTCGGTTTGGTTTATAAGGTACATATATTTGCCGCCACTGAGAATTTTCCTGTTGCCAATAATCATTTGTCCAAGGATAGTAAAGATAAGATTGAAGATTTTGAGTCTACCCTTTTTATGTAATAGTTATGATTTTGATTTGGTTAGGGTACACTATCTAGCGGGCAAGAAATAGCCGTGAAAAGATTGTCCCAAACATCAAGGCAAGGAATTCGTGAATTCAAGAACGAAGTACGATTAGTGTCCAAACTTCAACATAAGAATCTAGCAAGGATATTTGGTTGTTGCATTCATGGAGAGGACAAGATGTTGGTCTATGAGTACTTGCCAAATAGAAGCCTTGACTTCTTCATCTTTGGTATATTTTTCATCCCCTTTCAATCCAGTGCATTATATTATTCTTTTATTATTCCATAGTTAATTGTCGATGAAAACATCTTATTAGTTGATGTGTTCCTTTGATCTAGATAAAACTAAAGGCTTGCTATTGGGCTGGATGAGACGATTTGAAATCATCATAGGAGTTGCTCGTGGTTTATTGTATCTACATCAAGATTCAAGGTTGAAAATCATTCACAGAGACCTAAAGGCAAGCAATGTTCTGCTAGATGCTACAATGAACCCCAAAATTTCAGATTTTGGGTTGGCTAAGTTATTTGGAGAGGATCAAATAGAGGCCAATACAGATAGAGTTGTTGGAACCTAGTAAGAATAGTAACTTAACTTTATATAAAACCTAGTTTCCTTCTTAAGATATTCTTCCTGAGACAAGTTTTGATTCTTCTACATGAGATTTTGCAGTGGGTACATGTCTCCAGAGTATGCAATGGAAGGCCTTTATTCGACAAAATCAGATGTTTTTAGCTTTGGAGTCTTGACACTTGAGATTGTGAGCAGCACGAGGAGCAATCAGTGTTACCAAGGAAGTTCATCATCTAGCTTGATTGGTCATGTAAGTGCTCTTTTCCACCTAAAAGAAGTTATGTCCTTTAATACGCGACTAGGTTATTGGACCATGTTTTCGGTAGTAAGAAACTAATCATACTTACAATTTCACTCACTCATTTGAAATTTTGGTTGAAATCAAATAAGTCACAGAATTGTTCCGATAAGATGTAGTAAATATATAATAATTGACTGTTTGATAAGTAGTTCTTCCTAATTGACTGATTGATTCTTGTTGAGTTTGAATCCTTGCAAAAGCATGACTAATTTGGTCAAGGCTGAACTTCTTGTCGCATAGTTCATGGGAGAAAATGAATCACTCGGTTGAGAAAGACGACTGAATAGTTCGTATTGTACATACAATAGGTGTGGGACTTGTGGAGTGAAGGAAGAGCATTGGACATGGTGGATTCATCAACAATGGGAGAATCATTTTCCACGGAACAAGTCATGAGGTGCATTCAAATAGGACTCTTGTGTGTCCAAGAATTCCCGACAGATCGACCGGCTATGTCAGACGTTGTTTTCATGTTGGGAAATGCAACTACCCTTCCATCTCCCAAAAAGCCAGCATTCGTACTCAATAAAAAGTATGATGATGCAGATCCAGCAACGAGCAGTGCCACTGGATCATCGGGAGTTCCTTCAGTTAACCGCGTATCAATAACCACTTTGGTAGCTCGATGATATATAGACGACAACCATATATTGTAAGAGAAACAAATTGGTGTTTCACTATTCATAATTTCTTTTGTGTAATTGCTAATACTAGACAACTCTGTGCTTCTGGATCTTTAGCTCTGCTTTGTTCAGCACAGAGGTACAAATGTACAATCAAACTATGGGAAGAAGAAAACTTTAATTGGTGACGAAATGAACTAACGTACATTGGGCCAGCAATAGATTAAAGGCCGAAGCCCATTCGGTAATGTGTTTGCGGAGGCCTGGTATTAATGCTTACCTTGTTGGATTTGTTTCTCGCTTCAACGACGTAAAGTTGATAGGAAAAGATTTTATGGAGGTCCACGTCAGGGACGGAGCCAGGATTTTTCGGTAGGAGGGACCATTGGATTTTTTTTTTTGCGACAAACTAATAGTAAAAAAATCATATGTAAAAGGAAATATTAGTTTCGAATGGTACATAATTTTTTTATCCAAGACCATATAAAATTGTGTCCAACATAATCATCATGATATATCTTGTTCGATGTATTTTATCACGGAACATATTATTTATGGGTGTTGTAACTGAAACTTAGGATATGTTATATTGGTAGGAAAGGTTAACATATGGTAAAATTTCACTTTAAAATTACATGAAATTGATTTTGAAAAAGATTAAATAAAATTAAAAAGTATTAAAAATGTTAAAATCGTATGGAAAAAAAGATAAATTTCACTGAAAATTACATGAAATTGACTTTAAAGTGTGAAATAAAGACAATCTCAAGAGTTAGCCTAATGATAATGCGGGTTGAGAACATCCACCACATCAGAATTAGCCTAATAATGCAGGATGAGAACATTCACCACATAAGAATTTCGTATTTTAGGTCAACAACCGACAAGAAAAAAGTAAAATAAAGTGAAAAATGGGCAACAAGACAAAGATAAGAATCGAACCTCAATCCCATCCTAAATAAGGAAAATAGAACTATCCTCCATCCACTATGCTACAACATTATTATTGTTACAAGTTACCCATACTTGGTTTTATCCAACTCCAGAATTTTAGGGGGACCATGGCCCCTCCTAGTCCTTAGCTGGCTCCGTCCCTGTCCCACGTTACGTCAAGATTGATCAATTCATAAACCTTTGTTCAAAATTGGGACAAAGTACCTATGTTGTACTTAGTGTCTACACTTCTGTAATAAAATTGTCTGTACAACAATCATGGGATCGGTTAGCTTGACTACCCCTAAAGGGGTAGTGATTTTTGACACCCTCTTTATGATTGGCCAATTTTACTTCTAATCATTGGCAAGTATTAATTAAACTGGTTTTTTATTTTTTTTAATCTTGTAATTTGGGGTCTCTCACCACATTGGAAAAGAGAAAGAATCTGGGGAAAAACAAAATCACCCCCATTAATTACATAATTAATTTCTCTCACTGGTACATTAATTACACGTACCACTCCACTGGTACACGTACCACTCCACTGGTACACGTACCACTCCACTGGTGCGAGCAATCCACAAGGTAGGTTACAGTGAGAACAATACCAGTGCAATGATATTTTTCATAACAATGATAAACAATAACGGAGTAACAATGCAGTACCACTTCAATGATACAAATACCACTCCACTGGTACACGTACCACTCCACTGGTGCGAGCAATCCACAAGGTAGGTCAGAGGCGATCCCAGGATGGCGGCAGCTGGAGATAGGAGGATGGTGGTGGGGGAAGGCGCTGGAGAGTTTTGGTCGTTTCAGAGTAGATGAGGGTTCTGGTTAAAATGAAATCAAAATGGAAAGAGGGCCCAAATGGAGAGAGAAGGAGACGAAAGGAAGAAAAAAGGCAATTAATTGCACATTTGGGGGGGGGAGTTTTTTTCTGATTCCCCGTATTCTTTCCCTTTCCAATGTGGGTGAGAGACCCCAAATTACAAGATTAAAAAAAATAAAAAAACCAGTTTAATTAATACTTGCCAATGATTGAAAATAAAATTGGCCAATCATAAAGGGGGTGTCGAAAATCACTACCCCTTTAGGGGTTAGCATAGTATCCGACCCCAACAATCTTATATAACTTTTCTTCTGTCAAAACAACTTAATTCGCTGAAGACAAATGAACTGCAATAAGATGTGTATCTTTATATATGAATCAAGTGTTATTAAAAAAAAATATGAATCAACTTAAACGTAAACAAAAAAACAAAAAAAAAAAACAATCAATAAACATGAAAGCCAGTTATTACATATTTCCCATCTCTCCACAAAGGGCCTCTGAAAGGACAGAGGATCTCCGTACTCATTAACTATTCCCATCACCCTGGTTATTATATTATATCATTAATTAATTAATAAAAATATGATTAATTACGATCTGGCTGGCGGCGGCTGCTGGATAAGATGATGATTAACATAATTATTCCTAATTAATTAAATAAATAAATAATCAAGCCTGGCGGTAAAGCTCCGGCGAAAGGCGTGGGGTCAGCACGACCTCCAGCGGCTTCGCCTTGGCGAGCGTGGTGCTGTCGGCCTCCGTCATGTCCACCGGCAGGTCAAACGGCGTCCCAAAGTCAAACGCCTGGATCAGCCTCGCCGCCGTCAGCTGCACCACCTGCATCCCGAAGTTCATCCCGGGGCACGACCGCCGCCCGGTGCCAAACGGCAGGTACTCGAAATCCCTCCCGTAGATGTCCACCTTCACCTCCTTCTCGTGGAACCTCTCCGGCCTGAACTCGTCCGGCTCGGGGAACATCTCCGGGTTCCGGTGAAGCTTCCAGAAGTTGGCGAAGAAGCGCGTCCCCTTCGGCACGTGGTAGCCACGGATGGTGATATCCTCCGACGCCACGCGCGGCACCGAGATCGGCCCCGCCGGGTTCATCCTCAGCGTCTCCCTTATCACCGCGTGCAGGTACGTCAGGTTTTCGAGGTCCGAGTCCTCCACGATCCGGTCAAACCCTACTTTCTCGTCGATCTCTTGCTTCAGCGCCGCCATGGCTCGCCGGTTGTTCAGCAGGTTCGACAGCATCCACGTCAGCGTCACCGATGTCGTGTCCGCCGCCGCAATGATCACCGCCTATATATTAAACCACAATATTAAAATTATTATTAGCCTATAATAATATCAGTAATTGTTAATCTCAAGACCAGCACGTAAGAATTAGGGTTAGGACGTAAAAAAAAAAAAAATACCATGGCGGTTGACTTTATGATGGTTTCCTTGTCGTGTTTGGAAGAAGGGTCGAAGTTGTCATCGACAACTGAGAGCATGACGTCGATGAAATCCTCGGGGACCAAGTTGTCACCCAACTTGTTCCTCTTCACCTTGTGCTCGTCGATCCAACCGTCCACGATCACGTCCAGCTCCTTGGAGATCCTCCTCATGGCCTTCTTCATCCCCTTGATGTCGATCCACCCGAGGATCGGGATCAGATCCGACAGAACGAGGGACCCGTTCACGTCCATGAACTCCCTGATGAGCTCCCCCACGGGGCGGCCTCCAGCATCGGCCTGCAGGCCGACGCTGTCTGCCAGGTTCTCGAAGTACTTCTTCCCCGCCACCATCCTGGTGATGATGTTGAGGACAAAGTTCTGTAGCCAGTCGCTGATCACCACCACCTCGTGATCAGCCTGCTGGCTGCTGCTGCACTGGAGGTGGAGGTCCCTGATCAGGACGTCCACCTCGGAGACCTGGACGTGCCTCAGTGCCCTGATCCTGGGGAGGGACATAATCTCGGTGATGATGAGCTTCTTGACGTTGCGCCAGTACTCTCCGTAGGAGGCGAACCCGAAGACGGCGAAGTTGTTGCCGAGGATCTTGCCCTGCGTGGAAGGAGGGCGGGCGGCGAGGGCTCTGTCGTTTTTCACGAAGCAGTCCTTCATGGACTCGAAGTCGCTGACCACCACGGTTGGGTAGGCGCCGAGGCGGATGGTGAACATGCTGCCGTGCTTGTCGGCGAAGGAGGCCAGCTTCCTGGCCAGCGTGTCTTCGCCGCCGAGGAGGTGGAGGTGGCCGATGAAAGGCAAGCCTCCTGGGATTTCCGGGATTTGCAGAGGTTTGTTTTTTCCGTTGCTAGGGTTGACCACCAGCTTGTGGAGGATCAGAAGGAAGAGGACTCCCGAAAGTGCGAAGAGTATTGAAGCAAGATCCATGGCTGTAGATCGTCGAGCTGCTTGGCTATGGAGGATTGATTAGTTAGTTTGTGGGATGAAAAGAGATGCGTGGGGTGGGAAATGTTTAAATAGGTGGCCTGGTGATCGGCTTTTGCATGCATGCATGGCGCCGCCCACGTGGAAAGAGATATAAGTAAAACCGAAATATGATTGTTTAAAGAAAAAACATGCAATAGCTATATCTCTTTGTCCATAGTTCACGGTACCGGTTTAGGGCCGCCGGCAGATTGGAATTTTCAATTGTTTTCGGGGGGGGGGGGGAGTCAAAATTCCAATATTATTATGGTCAGGGGTAAAATTATAAAATAATCTGACTTTTCTCTTATGATATTAGAAAAAAAATGATTATAGGTCAAGAAAAGAAACCAGGAATTGTAGAGGTGGGGAGAAAACTACCTACCTTTCATGGATAGCTACAATACGATAGTCAAAACAGGGATGACGGTCTTACTGGCCTGCAAGTATTCCATCGGCGGTCTACGGAAGGTTCAGACCTACGGGCGAAAGTAGAAGAGTTATCAACATTTCGTATAAGGAAATTGTTAATATTCATATATCAAATTTCTCTCGATAACTCAAATTGTCAGGACCTGTTAATTTACGACGTAACAAAATCAAAACTCGCCACGACAGCATAGAACTCAGTTCTGGTTGAGGGGAAACTCGATGGATGGTGTCACGACCTTACTCTCGATCGTGCGGCCCTAGCTCTCAAATCCGTTAGAGCGCTAGGCAGCCTTTCTCTCAACTCACTTGAAAGCAAAGAACAAGAACAAAGAGACAAAGGATTGGGAGAACTCTCTAGTGTGTATTACTCTCAAAAATGATGGAATGAGTTACAAGTGAGGGAGATGGCTCCTTATATAGGCCTCTCCTCATACAAGGCATCAATGCCCCTCATAATGTCCCTCTACTACATCAATACACCCATTAAGTCCCCCCATTATGCACTCTATAAATACTACCATAATGTAGCTAATAAGTGCACCATTAAGCTCTCTATTAAGGTGGAGAATCCTAGGAGCATCTCTATGCTACTAGTCTTCCATGCATGACACATGTGCAGCCTTGTTGTCACCTTGTTGGCGCCATGTCATCGGCCACATGTGACATCCTCCCCCACCTATGCTCGCGACGCCCTCGTCGCGTCCTCTTGATGGAATGCCTCGATCAAGTCCTTGTTCTTCCAAAGCGTGAGCTCTTTCTCCCAAGTTGCTTCACTTTCCGGAAGGTTGCGCCACTTGACCAAGTACTCCACAAAGCTTGGATGTACGCCACGACGAGGAATGACACGACGCGCCATGACTTCTTCAACTTCATGGTCGTGTGTCTTGGTGATGAGTGTTGGAGCGCGCTGCGACTCTCTTCGTTGCTCATCATCCTTGTCTTCGTGGAAAGGCTTGAGTTGGCTCACATGAAAGACCGGATGGATCTCCAAGTGCGTCGGCAACTCAACCTTGTATGCCACCGCGCCAATCCTCTTCACGATGGGGAATGGCCCTTCATAGCGGCGAAGCAGTCCCTTGTGCACGTTCTTGAGATGCTTGAAGCGATGAGGAAAGAACTTGACCATCACCATGTCTCCCTCTTCAAACTCCAAGTGCCGCCTTTTCTTGTCCGCCCATTTCTTCATCTTCTTACTAGCGCGGGCTAAGTAAGACTTGGCCATCTCCATCTTCTCGTGCCAGCCTTTAGCGAACTTGTAGGCTGCCGGACTGTTGCCTCTATATCCCGTTGCCACCGTAGTAGGTGTCAAAGGTTGCTGCCCCATCGCCAACTCAAATGGACTCGCGTTGGTCGACTCGCTGCGGTGCAAGTTGTAGGAGAACTGTGCCGTGTCCATCAACTTCACCCAATCTCGTTGGTTTGCACTCACGTAGTGCCGCAAGTACACTTCCAACAAGGCATTCACCCGCTCCGTCTGTCCGTCGCTTTGAGGATGAAATGCCGTCGAGAAGTTCAAGTCAGAGCCCATGATCTTGAACAACTCTCGCCAAAATCTGCCCGTGAAGCGCCCATCTCTGTCACTCACGATGTTGCTAGGAACGCCCCAATACTTGACCACGTTCTTGAAGAATAGCCGCGCCGCATCCTCTGCCGTCATGTCTTTTGGCCCGGGGATGAACACTCCATACTTCGAGAACCGATCCACAACCACCATGATGCAACCGCATCCATCGACTTTGGGAAGTCCGATGATGAAGTCCATGCTTACACTCTCCCATGGTCGTTGAGGTGTGGGCAAGGGCTCTAGCAAGCCTGCCGGGCTTCTCTGCTCCATCTTGTCTTGTTGGCACACAAGACAAGTCTTCACATACATCTCCACGTCGTCTCTCATACGCGGCCAGAAGTATACTTCTTCGATGAGCGCTTGCGTTCTCTCGATGCCGGGATGGCCCGCCCACTTGGAGTCATGGCACTCCTTCATGATCTCTTTCCTCAAGTTGGCCCACCTTGGCACGAACACTCGCTCTCCCTTGGTCATGATGAGCCCATCCTTCATCCAAAACCGTCGAGTCTTGCCTTGCTCGATGTACTCGGCCACGGTTTTGGCGAAGGGGTCATGGCCAAGGCCTTCAACGATCCGCTCCTTCAAAGGAAACATGGGCTGGCTGACGCTTGCGGCTGCACTCTTGCGGCTAAGAGCATCGGCAACGGAATTCGCCTTGCCTGGGTTGTACTCCATGACAAAATCGAACTCGGCCAAAAAGTCTTGCCACCTTGCTTGCTTGGGAGTGAGCTTCTTCTGCGTCAGAAAGTAGCTCGTTGCCACGTTGTCCGTCTTCACTACGAACTTTGACCCCAACAAGTAGTGCCTCCATGTGCGCAAGCAATGCACCACGGCCGTCATCTCCTTCTCTTGAACGGTGTATCGCCTCTCCGTCTCGCTAAGCTTCCGATTCTCGAAGGCAATGGGATGCCCATCTTGCATCAACACTCCTCCAATCGCAAAGTCGGATGCATCGGTCTGCACTTCGTAGGCCAACGTTGGGTTGGGGAGCACGAGCACGGGCTCCTTCACCACCGCTTGCTTCAAGGCCTCGAATGCTTCTTGGCACCTTTCTGACCAATCCCACGCCTTGTTCTTCTTCAAGAGATCCGTCAAGGGTGCTGCAATGTTGGAGTAGCCCTTGATAAACCTCCGATAGTAGTTGGCAAGGCCGAGGAATGACCGCAATTCTGGCACCTTCGTCGGCGGCTCCCATTCTTGGATTGCCTGCACCTTTGCTCCATCCATCCTCAACTTGCCTCCACCAATGATGTGCCCCAAGAATGGAACCTCCGTGGCGGCAAATGTGCACTTCTCCCTCTTGACGTACAACTCATTGTCGCGAAGGACTTGGAAGACTTGGCGTAGGTGCTCGGCATGCTCGTCGAGTGTTTTGCTATACACGACGATGTCATCCAAGTAGACCACGACAAACCGGTCCAAGAATGGCTCGAACACTTGATTCATCAAAGTGCAAAACGTGGCTGGTGCGTTGGTGAGACCGAATGGCATCACAAGAAACTCGTAAGAGCCATACCTCGTCACACAAGCTGTCTTTGGCTCGTCGCCCTCTGCTATCCGCACTTGATAGTAGCCCGAGCGAAGATCTAGCTTGGTGAACCACATAGCATCTCCAAGCTGGTCGAACAGATCGCCAATGTTGGGAATCGGCCACTTGTTCTTCACCGTCAACTTGTTGATGGCTCTATAGTCGATGCACATGCGCAACGACCCTTCCTTCTTCTTTTGGAACAGCACCGGTGCTCCAAAAGGTGACTTCGATGGCCGCATGTAGCCTGCGTCCACCAAGTCCTTGAGCTGCCTCCGCAACTCCTCTAACTCTGGTGGCGACATGCGGTATGGTGCTCGCGAAGGGGGCTTCGCTCCTGGCTCCAACTCGATCTTGTGGTCCACCTCTCTTCTTGGTGGCAGCTTCTTGGGCAACTCCGATGGCATCACGTCGTCGAACTCTTCGAGGACGCCTTCGATGATGGGAGTTGTGATTCCCGCTGAGCCTCCTTCTTCCTCCATTTTCAAGGACACAAGAAAGGTTGGTTCATTCTTCTTGAACCCCTTCAACACTTGCATGGCCGATAGAGCACTATGGGCGCCATCTTCTCTCAAGAGATGGATCGTGTGAAACTCCCCCTCCTTCTCCAAGCACATCGTGTTGGAGTTGGGCTTCAAGAGCACTCCCTCCTTGTCGAGGAAGTTGATGCCGAGGATGACTGGGTGATCGTCCATGGTGACGACGGAAAAGTCGATGAGACCTTCCCACTCGCCGAGCTTCATTGGCACGTTGTGAGCAACTCCATGGATTGGGATGGACTCCGAATTGATCGTCTTGAGCCTCCCTTGCCCCTTCTCGTAAGCAATACCCAGCCGGTTTGCCTCCTCGATGCGAAGGAAGTTGTCCGTGGCACCGGTATCCACCAAAGCTTTTGACTCGCCTTGCATGAATTGCGCCAGAACATAGAACCTCCCACGCTTGCTCTCCTTGACGTCGGTCTTTGCCGCGCCAAGCTTGCGGATTGAGCCAATCTTGGCCTCCGCCGCCTTGGGCTCCTCTTCTTGAGCTTCCATGGCCGCCAATCTCTCCTTCCTTGGGCAATCCCGCACTCGATGTGGTCCATCGCAAAGGAAGCAAGACATGGGGTTTGGCTCGTACTTACCCCCTTTGCTCGAACCACCTTGGTGTTGTTGAGCGCGAGTGCCCTCCTTGAAAGGCTTCTGCTGTTCTCCACCCTTGTTGGGCTTCGAACTCTTCTCTTTGCCGCTGCTCTCCTGCCTTTTGTACTCGACAAAAGACTCCGCCGTGGCCATGGCAGTTGCAAGGTCTTGCACTCCTCGACGTTGCATCTCCATCTTGGCCCATGGTTGCAGCCCATCAAGAAAGCCGTGCATGGCCTCCTTGTCCGTGATGTCCGGGATCTCTAGAAGCAGCTCCAAGAATTCTTTCACGTATTCTCGAACTCCACCCCTCTGGGTG